TCTTCCACGATCTTTTTGATCTTCGGGTGGAAGCTGGAGATGCTCCACTTCGGGAACACTGTTTCCGCAGCTGGAAACGCCAAGTACACATTTGCCCAGGTCCAGAACGTGATGGGCACCATCTGTGGCAACATGGTAAAAGAGCAAATAGTGTCCGAAGCTAACAGAGCTGTAGCTGTCTCTTCCCTTGCGAACCAAACAGCTGACAGTGGGTAGCAGAGCAGCTGTTTCCCCAATCTCGAACAACGAACCTTCATGGTCGTGCTGCCAGGATATTCGGGGGGGGGGGGGGGGGGGGGGGGGGGGGGGGGGGGGGGGGGGTAAGTGCAACGTTACTACAGGTTCGTAAATCTCACCGGAACCGGACCAAATCTATGTTGGTGGCCTTCCCCCTGTTTTGCTCTGTTTTGTCTGCTTTGGGGCCGTGTTTTCACCGTAGCTTGTCTGCTCTTCGAGGTTTAAAAATGGTCAGTTGCGCCGCAACTAATTGTTCCAGCCGTAAAAGTCGACGCTACGGCCAGCAGTATTGGTTTTTCTAGAACTGGGTTTTGGTACCTTTCGTGTCGTCTAGGTGTTTTCGCTCAAGGACTTTCAAGGTCGACTGAATGATGAGACATACAAGGCTTTCGAAAAATAAAACGCAGAATGCCTCCAACATGGCGCCAAGGCACTCATAGCAGACGAATTATTTTCAATTTAGAGTCTAACCGGAAGTGACGACAGATGCACACGAAAATCAAATGGATAGATTATTAAAGGGGCGCTGTAATCATATTTAAGCGTCTAACTTTTTTGCGGTGTCACGTCTCTTGGGGTTCCGGCAAGCCAGGAAGCACGGAGAGAATAACTAAATATCCGCGCGTCCTATTTTAAAAGGGACGACGCGGAAACCTCCTCTACCTACGGAACCCACCCGCGGTGCCGAACGCGCGCGAAATTTGAAGTATTTGGTTCTAACCTTACTACTGGTCAGAGCCGCTAAAAGCTTTTTTTTAGTCGAAATACAAAATATAAACGGCGCGAACCGTTTCAATTATGTATGAAAGTAGTTTTTGTTCAGTGTTTTAGATCAGAAAAGAAACAAACGCAGTTTATAAAGTACGGCTACAAGAAATGACCCGTCAACATACCCACCACCAAGTGGTGGAAAAGGCGGCACACCGACGAGAGGCGAGCGTAGAAAGGTCCCGAATGTACGCGGCGGCGCTGCAGTCGAGGATTCGACCGGTTCCGAGCGTTCCGAAGGCCTTCGTCGAGCAGCTTTGGCTTGCGGTTTGGCCCTTCAGCAATATGGCAGCGCGAAGTGGCTCCCGTTCTGAACTGACCTTTACCCCGTGCTTCCTGTCGCTTGTGGCCAATGAAGTATCATGCCGAATTAGTTTATAATCGCGCAGCAAATGCAATGCGAGCCGCCCTGGCCGCCCGCTTCATACAGCCTATCCAGAACACGCCCTAGTGGCGCCCTCTCGAGCCGTCGACACGGAGTGCGGCAGCAATGAGCGCTCGCTGAGCTCACTACCCCTCCTCCAGTTCACGGCCACTCAAGCGACCAAGGATGTCACGAAGAAAGTTGTAGTTTTATTGTTTTTGTAATCTTAATTTGCCTATAACTTTTAAAATAAAGCGAAATTTGAGAAAAGAAAAGCTTCACTAAGTTACTACGTTCAGTGCGCTCAGGTTCGGTGCAAACTAAAAACCTGTCAAAAACCGCATTTCCACGTGGTGAATGATGTTGATTGGGGCGAAGCTCTGGTGGGTGGTTGTCTGCGTAGACGCTGAGCCGCAGCATGCCGAGCCTTTCGTTCGTTTTCATCCATGTCACGCTGCGGTCAAATGCTCAAATGCGTAGATAACCACGTTCCATGCCGCACATTCTCTTTTTGACATGGATGAAAACGAACGAAATGCTCGGCATGCTGCGGCTCACCGTCTACGCAGACAAGCACCTCCAGAGCTTCGCCCCAATCAACATCATTCACCACGTGAAGATGCGGGTTTTTTTTTTTTTTTTTTTGCCCTACACGAGCTCGGGAGCACGTGCTCACGTGCTCGTGAGCAGGAGCACCCGACGCCGGACATTGGACGGACATATGGACATGGCTAGCCCCTAAGGAGCTTCGCCCCTAACAGTTTAAATATATCATGCTTTCGCCCTTTAAGGCGAAAGCAAATATATATTTCATCGTTCAGTTGACGTTGATGACACGAACAGTACGATAACACGTCGGCGACACGAAAGGAACGAAAACACGTCACACGAGAGGTGCCAACCCCACGGTTCGCCACAGGACCAGGAGATAGTGTTACTTGTGCCGGAATCGGCGGAGGCGCGCGCGCGGCGCAAACCCAGCGAGAGAGGAGGACATTCTCGCTCGAGCAGCGGTGAAGAGCGGGAGTGCGACATAACGGCGAAAAAAGTGCGTCGTCAGAGAGCGCGCTGTCTTTTGGGGTTCGCTATCACCGGGATAGCCGCTTGGGCTTTCGCCTTCAAGTCGTCTTACTGATAACATAAGCGACCCTGTGAATTTCTTATTGAAATGGGATGCTTATAGACTTATACAGCACGTTTTGCCCTTTGTACAACCAATTTACAAATGTTGATAATTTTCATCTGGCAACCAGGCAGCACTGACTGGTTGTACTTGTACCGTTGTTGTAACGCGTACCGCAGCACCACGGCACGGAGGTAAGAAGCTTCTGGAGGCGACATGACGCTGTGGAGAGGTACGCGAAACGATGACCAAAACGAAGAGAGGCTATGCAAAGCGCCAGCTCGTCTGCTTTTTTTTTTTTCAGGAGTTGTGGTGACGTCAGAACACCGAACTCTGATTGGCCATGATTGAAGGATAGTGTGTATATGTGTACCTCAAAGCAAGCTGGCTTGAGGTCTACCCACTATCCTTCAATCAAAACCAATCAGAGCTCGGCGTTCTGATGTTATCACAGCCCTACACTTGCACTCTGCATTGGACGAGGAGAAGAGCTGACTTGCTCTCCTTTTCGTCCAATAGTGTCTCTTGGTTTTGGTAATCTTAGGGGGCGTCTCCCTCCCCACTAAATTTTCTGACTTTACTCTCCACAGCATCATGTCGCCTCCAGAACCTTCCTACCTTTTTTTTTTTAATGCGAAAGCAATAACTGTCCTTTGGAGCGAACCGACGTCATCAGCATTTGAAGCCGCGCCGTTGGGCACCTTCCTCTGTCCCAGTGAAGCGAAGCCTGTCGTCTGTAGCAGAAATCTGATGGATAGGCTCCCATTGATTCTCGCGCGTCATAGTTTCAAGGAACGAAGCTCTGATTGTCTTTCGCTTGGCATAGTTCGAAAGAACGCCACCAGAGAAGCCCTCTTCATGGCGGCGCAGCGCACGCAGCGGCCCTAAGCGGCCCGGCCGCCGGTAAGAGTTAGCGGTAGCCACAGAGCCCGCACGGGCAAACTCCAGAGGGGCTGCGCGGCCGAGCTCGGTCCAGTGCGGCCACTTCACGAGAGCGCGCGCTCGGCCGTCGGCCGCTACTGGCTCTAGCCGCTACCTCCATAGTAGCGAAACGTGGCCGTCCACGCCAGTACGCCGCAGACGAACTGAGGGGGCGGAAGAACGACATTCATGATTTCGTATTCACAACTCATAAAAAACGCTTAAGTGTACTCGGAATATATATATATATATATATATATATATATATATATATATATATATATATATATATTTTTCTTTTTTGTACATGAATTACGGTGATCTTACGTCTTGGCCGGATGGATGGATGTATAGATAGCTCTGGATCGATGGACAGATGATAACGGCTGTACCCTCTGCAACTGGCGGCAGCTTGCGCCACCTAGCCTAAGAACAATAGCATCAGCCATACGAATGGTTGATAACGGGCATAAGGGAGATAACGGCCGTATGGCTGATATTAGGGAGTTTTAGAATAACGTACGCAATTTTAGCGCACGCTAGCGCTAAATTTAGCGCTTGTATTAGCGCACGCGACGCAGGAGAGTTTTAGAATAGCGTTTCTCCGCCGCGACGCAAAAGCCCAAGCATCTCGCACTTGTGACGCCACCAAGATTCAGTAAAAAATTTTATTTCACACACGAAATGGTGTAACTTTAGAAAAAAAACGAGTTTTTTTGTCCAGAGTAGCATTTTAATTTGTTTAAACAGGAGAACGCGACGCGAGCGGTTGACCGGTCGTGTCCGCTTGCGTCGCCTCGGCAAGAGAGGTCTCGTGTACTGACCTTCGCACATCGTTCGCCGAGAAATGTTCGCGCTCCGCAAGCATCAAGTTGCCGGTGATCGCTGCCAAACCGAGTACAATGTCGTCCCGTATTGAAAATTGCAGTCGCGAGGATGCCGCCGACGTCGAACTCACGACGCCGCCAAAACAGCCGCCGACATAATCCTGGAAGCCGCCATTTTTTTTTAACTGTGCTCGTCTTGGCTTTAGCCAACTTCTCATCACGAATCCTCTTTGGAGAAGCGCAAAGACTCTTTTCGTACGCACGCTCTTTCCGAGAAATAGCGCGCGCTAAAATTGCGCACGCAAAGCGCAAAACCTGGTTTGCGTTCGGAGCATGCGCAGTGGCGACGACGCTATTCTTGGCGTGCGCAAAGCTTTAGCGTGCGCTATTCTAAAACTCCCTATTAAGTGTTGCCATCACTCTAGAAGATAGTTTCGGTTTTGCAGCTGACGCCCGAAACCAAACTTTCAGCCGTGATATTTACAGAAGTACGCACAATATTGAGAAGAAAAAAAAAAGTATACCTTGTAATTCAGGGACACTGCTTTAGCTGAAAGAAGTTGTGAACCCGAATTCAAAAATCGTCAAGAACTTCGATCGCCTCGTGTGCGCCAGCTAGAATGGAGGAAGTAGTTTCTGCAGAAAACGTTAGGAATCGCGCTATCGATACCATTGTCCGCCGCTCTTGTGTTTCTGATGTTGCTGGCATTGCCCAGATTTGTCTTCGTTCCTCCCCATCGTGTATGCACGTCGTGTGCGAGCCATGTTGGTAATAAATTGCCCTCGACAACGAAGTCCTTGAACTCGAGAGCCTGCGAAACAACAGCGTGAGCAGAGCCACTATAGAGCTAATGAATAATTATAATTTCTTTTCACAACAAATGAGTCTACACAAAATTGAACTGAAGAAAAAAAAATAAACCGAGCGCAAAAGGACACAGGAGCTCTAAAATAGGTGCAGACAAACTTGCGCTCCGCATTGCGGAACTCAAATTCGTCTCGTTCTTTTGCAGGGGTTGTTGTCACGTCCGAACGCCGGGCTCTGATTGGTTCTGAATGAAGGATGGTGGGTAGACCCCAAGATAGATTGCTTTGAGGTCTTGTCTTTCAATCGGAGCCAATCAGAGCTCGACATCTTTCTGACGCCACCGACCCTCCTGCGCAGGAAGCAGACGACTTGCTCTCCGCATATTAAATTTCCCCAGGTCGTTTCGTGTACAGTTTCGTGCGTCCCGCAACGCTCTTCTCAGACCGCTCCTGAACCCCACAGGACACTACTGGCAAGGCTAATAACGCGCATGCGCAGAACGGTGAAACAGTTTTTGACAAACTGGAGGCAACGGACGAACATGGCGGAAGGGAAAAACGCTCCACGAAAGCTCCATACTGGGGAACCTTTGATTCGTATTCTTCTTCTTTTGTAGCCGGAAATAAAAGTAACAGACGTCAGACTGTCAACCTACACGCTGTTGGATTTTATGGCTTCAAGCTTCCGTCGTTCTTCTTACGTATGCCATCGAGCTTGGCGGTCCCGTTTGATAGTCAGTCATGCCGTCACGAGTAGCAACAATAAAAGCGCAATCACACTTTTCATACATCGTACAGCAAACATGGTATTCGTTGGAGACACGATGACTGAAGTATTTGCGGACCCGCATCAGAGGGTAGGAGAGGGGTCTAATTGCAAGCCCTCATAAGCCTTCCTCCTACAATGATGGCTGGCTGGATGGATGGATGTTAATGGCTATACCTTTTGTAACGGGCGGTACTTGCGCGACTTAGCCTGAATCTAAAAATACAAACATATGATTCCTGATTATAATGCAGTTAATTGGAAAAGTGCAAGCGAGGTGCGCAAGAATGACGCAAATAATCCCTGGAGAAGGGGAACAAGAGAGACAAGGGACAAACATAAATCTCCAAACACAGCTAGGTGACTGTTGCGCGACCGAAAAAATCCTCCTGGTCCGGGTGTCGAACCCGGGACCTCTCCATTTCCAGTGGAGCGCTCTACCAACTGAGCTAACCAAGGGTTAGGCGTCAGTAGAGCAAACGGGTTTTGGAGATCTATGTTTGTCCTTTGTCCCTCTTGTTCCCCTTCTCCAGGGATTACTTTCGTTATATGATTCCTATTTTACGATAACGAAAGAGGGACATTGAAGACAAACAGAAAACACAGACTGTGTTCTGTTGTCTGTTTGTTTTCAATGTGTCTCTTTCGTTATTGTAAATTTGAAACCGCCACGCTTAACCATCTACATATAATTCCTCCCGCCCTTCTAAGCCAACTTTCTCCCCTTATCTATCACCAGGCAGTGTGGGACAACAAGCTTCAGACAGTGCTTGCATACTTTACTTTGGAAGACGGCAATGACGTCGTCAATACCCACGGAATACCAAGAAAAGGGGGGGGGGGGGGGGGGGAGGGGGGTGTTCCCCATCCATACTGGTCGGTGGCACAGGTAGTGCATGCCCTTCTAAAATGCGGCGATATCCAAGATGAAAAGAAAAAAGAATATTGCTAATTATCACCTGGCCCGATCTGTCATGGAACTGTACTTCGATTTGAGATTGCTTCTCTCCTTGTACTTGCGGTACAGTAGAAAGTTCTTCTTCCTCTACCTCGTTCTCTCAGTTCTTTCAGTAAATAGTCGCCACTAAAGAAGAAAAAAAAATAACGGGTCGGTATTAAAATATCGATAGAGGAGAAAGAAGAAGCTACCGACGAGATCGGACGCGATTTTCTGAGCTCCCCGAACAAAATGACCAGCACCGAGCTGCCAACTTCGGACTCATTATTCGGCCTTCCTGGAGGGGTTTTCTCACCAGGGCCGGTTTGCTCATCTTGCGGCTGCGGTCGCGGCTGCGGCCAAGAGGGATTTTTACGTCACGTGACCAGCTCCATGGGGACAAGGAAGTACCTAGCGTCCCTGCCTTATGGCGGAGTGATCCGCATCGCTTCAAGCACAAAAGCCTAATTTCGCTCGCAGAAACTGATTGCAGGGACTTTCATCTGGAATCCAATTGACCGCCCCTTTATACTGTAGGAGCGGCAGGTAAAGTTACGGCCAGGGAGGGTAAATAGGAGCCAAAATAAAGAAGAAACCACAGGAGATAAAAGCGGTAGCAGTATATTAATCTACCTCCGTCGGTGCCGGTGCCTCGCGCCGGCTGCTATGGTCGAAAGGTGCGCGTCTTCCTTTTTAGCTTTGATCCTCTTTAGGAAATCATCCACTCGCACTACTGCGCCTTACACGGTTTCTTCTGCCACCTGTTCAATCAAAACATCGGGAAGAAAAAAAAAAGATGAACGCAAGTTAACGCGCTAATACAATCATTTCATTCCATTTGTTGATCCAAAGTCATATTAGGAGTTTGCATTAGAGTGAGGGACCTAAAATGACTTTGGATCATAAATGGAATTAATTATAATGAATTCCATTTGTTGTTCCAAAGTCATTTTAGGTGTTTGCATTAGAGAGAGGGTTTGCGATGTCGACGCCTGATTCATTTTTGCATTCGGTCGTGGTCGTCCGCTAATCTTACTAAAATTCAACAAGTAATGTGGTAATATTACAAAACGATTGCCATAACAAAATGTAAAGAGTATAAATATACTTTTTATCACATTCCATGCAAGTGATCGCTTTTATTTCGGTTTTACTACTTTGTCAGACGTTTGACATGCTGCCTTGCCTGTAGTATTTCGCTCAATCAGTGTAGCCAGAGTTGCTAGTCTTTTTTTTTTACTTGTTTTTTTTTAATTGTCACAACTGCAGTTTTTATTAGTCCTAAATAGGCGTCTCTTGTTATTGAAAGGAATCGTAGCAAGAGCGTTGTATATTTAAAAACACATAAACTAGTCGCTGGGAAAAGGATGCTTGTTTCGGCTCCGTTAGTGTGAAAGCCATAGCGATGCTGTTATCTTGGTTTCCTTTTAATGAACATTATGAAATGATTGTGTTAGCGCGTTAACTTTCGTTGATCCTTTTTATTTCTTTCCGGTGTTTCGATTGAACAGGTGGGACTAACAGTAAAAGCGTGTAAGGCGCAGTAGTGCAAGTGGATGATTTCCAAAAAAGGATCACAGTTCAAAAGTAAGACACGCGCAAAATACAAAAAAAAAAAAAGAAAAGAAGTCCCTAGCGCGATCTGAATCCGGAACTTTCACGCCGTGACGACAAGTACCGGCGCTTTAACCTCTCGACCACAGCAGAACGCGCGAGGCGGCGGCGCCGGCGGAGGATAAATAAATATGCTGCTACCGCTTTTATCTCGTGTGGTTTTCTCTTTACTTTGGCTCCTATTTGCCCTCCCTGGCCGTAACTTTACCTGCCGCTCCTACGGTATAACGAGGCGGTCAATTGGACTCCAGTTGAAAGTCCCTGCAATCAGTTCCTGCGAGCGACATTAGGCTTTTGTGGTTGAAGCGACGCGGATCTCTCCGCCATTAGGCAGGGACGCTAGGTACTTCCTTGTCCCCGTGGAGCTGGTCACGTGACGTAAAAATCCCTCCTGGCCGCGGCCGCGGCCGCAGCCGCAAGATGAGCAAACCGGCCCAGGAGGACCAGAAGAAAGGCCCACTACTTCGAACAACGTTCCAGCCACCGATGTAAGCGGTCAGCCCGAAGCCATGGACACGAAGATTGCGAGCAACACCGAAACCGTCCCTATCGAGACGGGACCGGCAAGTCTTGCCACTCCGACACTGAAAAAGCCAACAATGGAGTGCCCAGCCGTTGTATGCTTCGGTGAGCCCTCCACGATTCCAAACACGGCTTTTTCAGTTGAACAAGCTGTAAGGTCTCTTCTCGCGAGTATCCCGAGGGAGAACCTTTTAGACATATTCTAGGACATACTTGGAGAAACCCATGAAATTGTGCCTACCAAAGCGAAGAAGAAAAAATCGGCTTCAAAGAAAGCTCCGATAAATCTTCTAGGTACAAAACAAACGCAAGAAGCGCCGGCCGCAGCCGGCACCACGCCCATACCGGACACAACGCCACATGCAGTGGAGAACAAGCGCGCCAGTTCGATACCTGCAGGGACACTCGCACCACCACCGAACGCGGTCAGCGAGATGCCTCCTGCTACACGAGAGGAACCTGAGGACACGGTTGGCTGGACCCAGGTGACGTATAAGAAGAAAAGGAAACGGGTCCGAGGGGACGCGACACAGAAAACCTCCGAGGAAGCCAAGTCAACCCGGTGCTGGTGGTACGAGTATAAGATCCGTTTGACGCGTTCACAAATCTCGATCAAGCCCCTACTTCCACTACTCAAAATGCACCTCACGGGCACTCACATCTCCACGGCCTTCACATGCATATCATAGAAAAGGCTAACACGATTTTGGTCCGCACAGATGCGAAAGAGTTAGCCGATTCTCTTGAGAAGATCACAGAGATCGGCACTGGAGAGAAAGGCAAGATACCCATACAAGTCTTCAGGACTTATGGGAATACACACAGCAAGGGTGTCATTTATGACATATATCCCAAGGAAGAAGACCCGCAAGACGACGTCCTCAATTCGGAAATTGAGTCAGAAAAGCCTCACGTGGTAGCCGCTCGAAGGCTTGGCAAGTCAAACACGGCGGTCCTCACGTTCGATGGAGAGAAAACGCCTCGATCTGTTCTTTACAGCAAGAGGTACATGCGGGTATTCCCGTTCAAACCGAAAGCAGTAACCTGCGGGCACTGCCACCGTCTAGGACACAAGTTCGATATATGCCCGAATACGGCAGTGTGCCCTATATGCGGAACCAACCATCCAAGACCAACGG